CACCCTTCTGGGGTGAGACCTGGCTCTGCAGAAACATGGGCAGGGTGTCTAGACAGAGGCAAGGAACTCAGAGCTCAGCCCTGCCCTTATCAAGCCAGAGAAGTGATGGCTGGACTGTGATATATTTATTTATTTGGTCACTTGCCATCAGTTAATGAAAGCACTATGAAAGTATTTTTTTTCTGCCCAGGAAGCAGGTTTTGGAGAAGGAATAAACCCTGAGGTGCATGGTGTCTCCTGGGTCCCTCAGAGCAGCTTGGCAGGAGACACTATCCCCAGCCCCCCCAGCCCCACAGAGATGCTGCCCTGCCCGCCCCAGTAGCATGACACAAGCGAGGCAGAGCAATTCAAACCACACACAAGATAGACACTAAACACACCACCCACACGTACACAGCACTTGTAAAAAGATTAGACCTAAAATGTCGCTATGGGTGAGCATGGATAAAAATCAAATGACCCCAAGCGTGTGGTGCAGGTGTAGACGTGGTCCCCTGTCACTGTGAGGATGGTGGGAGCTCTGGGCAGGGGTGGTGGCTGAGCCTCCTCCTGCACATGCACAGCATGGACCTGGGTGAGGAGCACTTCTTAACAGACCAGAGACTTGCACTCTTTTGCCCAGGGTCACTTCGACTCCATGGAAGTTGGAGCTAAACCCTCGGCTTCCTGATTAACTACTCAAGCAGGGTACTTCCATGAATATATCTATATTTGCATAAACATGCAATCAAGTTTCCTCATCCCTTTGACTGGCTTCTGGCAGCTCCCCCAGACAGACTGTTACTAACATACTGTGGGTGTAAAACGTCCTCCTGGGAAATATCAGGCCCAGAAAGCATGGCAAGGGGAGGAATGCGTGTCTAATTCCCCCATGAGAAGCTTTAAAAAAATGTCCTGCTGTTAAGTTTTATCTGCTCATTTCCAAAAGACAAGTGAAAACGCTGTCTCCTTGTTCACTAGAGGAGGGAAGCAGGAACCCCCGGAAAAAGGACAAAAGTTTTCCTCCACGGTGTGATTTTAGAAATTAGGAAAGGGTGTTTCTGGCGTGTGTGTGAGCTCCAGCCCCGCATGCTCCCTGGCTGCTTTGTGCAGTGGCCTCCTGGGGAATGTTAGAGTGTGGCTCTGCCCTGGGAAAGCTGCCCTTGAAGATGCAGCCAGCCTGAATGACATCCTTGAGTCTGGCCACAGGGACTTGGTACAGGACTGGGAGAACCAGCAAGGACAGAGCAAACCTGTCCCTTGACCCGACAGCCCATCCCTGGCATGGCTTAGCAAAGCCTCTGGGTTGCTCTGGTGAGTCCTAGGAGGTGACAGCAGCCCTCCCTGGTGGCTTCCCTTGTGGGGAATCTTCCCCATCTGAGCAAGTGGCTGGTGGGGCAGAGCAGCACCCAGCCTTCCCCATCAGAAGTTGGGGAGAGTGCAGGCTACAAGTCTCTTCTCCTTCCAGTCAGGCAAGACCGAGTACATGGTTTAGTTTGATGGTGGGACAGTAAAGCCTCCTGCTTCCCTGCTCTGCATGTGATGGAGCTGTAAGAGAGCATCTCTTGCAGCCATGCCAGCCCTGTGCCAAGTGGCTCTCGGAGGGATGGATTTTGAAAACCTTTTCTTTTTTTAAAAAAAAACCCAAAACAGCACAAAATGGAGACAAAAAAGGGAAAAGCATTCCTTCCCCCGCATCCAATCCTGGCTTGGCTTCTTGCTGCCCTGATGATAGCAGAGTGACAGCAGAGTGAGATCAGCCGGCGAGGGAGGACGTCAACAACCACAGTGTGGTTGTCTCTGGGCTTTGAAGTGGACCCGTTGCAGCTGGCTCCCTGCTTAGAGGGACCATCATGCTTGCTCCCAGCCTGTGTCACACGTGTCAAAGTGTCCCTGGGCTGAACAGAGAGAAAACCAAACCAGCACTGCCCAGAGGCTGGGGGATGTGAACCGAGACAGGGTGATTTTTATCCATGTCCCTTTAGCATCCTACAGAGCAGATAACCAGGGCCACCGCCACGGCAGCCCCACGCGTTCCCCACCGCCACCGGAGGAGCTGGGGTGGGAAGCAGCTGAGAAGAGGAGCCTGGTGGTGGTGTCCAGGCTCTCTGAGCACGGCAGGGAGTGTGGCACCCACCTGGCTGGGTGGTGGTGGCAGGTAGGGGGGTGGTGGTGGTGGTGGTTGTGGTGGTGGTAGTTGAGGTGGTGGTGGTGGGCGTTGTCGTGGTGGGCGTTTTTACCGTGGTGGTTTTTGTGGTGGCAACCCGCTGCGGTCGCTCGTAGGCTGGCAAGCAAAGAGAAGAGGTGGGAAGCACTTATTGGGGTAAAACAGAGGGTTTCCTTGCCAGCCCGCGTGCCCAGGAGGCTGCTGCTGCTGGGGCTGAACTGGTGACCGATTTCTCAGCTCGTTTACAACTGGGGCACGGAGGGGATTAAGGCAATAGTGGCTGGATGACGCTGGATGCAGCGAGCACGTGTGCGTGCAGGGGCCCCAAGGCTGGGGCCACATCAGCTTACTCTGTTGCTGCAGATATTGGCTTAAATACTTACAGCACTATCATAAACTAATTGCCAATTAAGCTGAAAAGAGGAAACAGAAGCACGCCTGGGCAGAGGTGGGGTGAAGAGTGGGCAGGAGGTGAGGAGACCACTCAGCAGAGATGGGATCCTGCTGCCTGGTGTCTACGTGCCCACAGGCAGAGCCCTGCCTGCCCTGGCTCTTCTGCTGCCCCACAGGCAGCCAACTACCCGGGATCATCAAAAACAACCCCTACCACGGGTATGTGTTAACTTCCACTGGCACCCTTCATTTAGCAAGGCAAATTAACGGATGGTTTAAGGTCAGCGAGCCCCACGGAGCTGCAGCGGAGCGGTCCCTGGTGCGGTGCCCACCCCACCGCGCTCGCCACAACAGCCTGAACTAAAATAACACTCAGAACACAAATTCCTACTTAACTTACACCTGCTGCCCTCCTGTCCTTGTTTGTCCCGCTGCTTCATGCAGATTATCATGCTTAATTTCATAATAGCCCTGAGCTAGTTTAAATACTTAATTTAGGTCACTTCTAGTCTTCTATGCAGGCTAAATAATCTCTCCTTAACTGGCCTTGGACACAAATCCCTCCTGTCCACCTCCTGCACATCGCTCCCAGCACCCTCCCGGCTTCCTCCTAGCAGAAAATTTTGATGGGAAACATTTTCCAGGGAAACAAAGGATGCCAAGCTGTCTTAAGGTGGGGAAAAAATAGTTATCAGAATGGTTTTGACCGGAAAAGCAAAGGATATTTTGGATCGTTAAAATATATAATTTTCTTAATCCTAAATTACTTAAGGGAGACTTTTAATTTTAATTTGAAATTTTTAACCATTTTAGATTTTAAGCAGTTAAATTTAATGTGGTTCATTTACCCAGAAAAAAACATCCTCTACTTTTCAATTAGGTGCATTTCTCTTAATTACATTTGCATTTCTCTGAAACTGTTTCTCCTCCAATTCTTGCCACTTGCCTGCAAACCAAAGAATTCATTATTCATTCAGCTCTCCGATTTGTTTCTTCTGGAGGGTAATTCCGAGACACAAAATCCAAACCCAGGCTTCTGCTTACCCAAAACTCAAGGCTCTTTGATATCAAACTACCTCCAGCTTTGTTAAATAAGGAGTGCTATCATACCACCAATCTTTCAATAGAAATCCCCTCTGAGCTCTACTGTCTTCGCTGCTGACACTTCATAGACATATGTTCATCTACATACAGCTGTACACACACCCTACATACATTTTTTTATCGATAGCCCAAGGTGACCCAGACTGGATGCTATGCCAAATAACTCAAACCCAGCTCCTTCTCAGAGCAGAAGTCTGCAATACTGGGGGGGAAAAGTTCACAGCGAGCACTGGTGGTTTTGAAGAGTCTTTTTTTATTTCCTTTCCGGCTGCCATTCTAACGAACCTCATGGGGGGAAACCATGCCAGAGGAAAAGGCAAAATGAGGCTGCTAAAGTCAAAGGAAGAAAATATAAGACTCTTTGACAGGACAGAAAATGAGGCACAATTAGGGAAGACTTATTGCCTGGAAAATGATAATGGACAGAAAATAACCATTTTTTTTTTCCTAGTGACATCCGCAAGGACCATGCACTAGGGTGTTAAATGCCAGCATTTCAGTTATGTTTTTACTTACTGCCAAAGGCTGAGCCTGCAGCTGCACCTGGAAAAAACAAGAAGAAGCCCGGTCACTGGAAGCAGGATGTCATCGGCTTTGATACCAGCAGAAAATCAAACAGATACACGACGTGGGACCGAACAGCAATTAATTAGTGGGGGTCTTGCTCATAGGCATATCAGTTTGCTGCAGCATCTTCAAAAGCTGCTTTTGCCAAACCACAGGGGCAACCAGACAGGGCTGTCTGGGGTCTTGGCAACTCAAGCTTTTCACTTGGGTAAGAAAAACCAGTTTGGTCCTTCCTGATGGCTTTTTCTGTTAACCGTTTCCTTGACCTACCATTAAAGCCCAGCAAAGGACAAGCACATCTTCTGAGGGCCACTCTAAGTACAAATGGTAGAGTCTGAAAGAGCTTGTTGTACCTAGGGCAGTTCTCCATGAGCGAGAAGGGCTGAACACCCTTCCCACTGTGGCATTTGCTCAACATGATGCTACAAAGCCACTGGCTTCAAACCCACCCATCGAAAGACATCCAAGGACCAGATTCTGGCTTTTGGCACCCAGAAGACTAATGGCCATGGTCCTCCCTACTGTAACAAGTGGATGAATCATGGAAAGTCTCGACTTTGCACGAACATAAAGCACAGGACCAGTGATGGAAGAGGTAGGGCCACCAAGAGGAGAGAGCTTCAGAGAATTGCCTCTGTTGGAGAGGAAGAGGATGTTGATGGGGGAGGAGGAAGCAACAGAGAGAGTGTCAAGGCTGGGGTGGGGGAGAAGACCGAGTGACAGATGGGAAGAGAGATGAATGGGAGAAGAAAGAGCAGAGGAGAAAGAGAAATAGGAAGAGACACAAGGAACGGAGGGGAGGGAAAGAGAGAGAACAGCATGTCTGTGCCTGTCAACACCAGAAACTCTCCCAGGCTCCTTTGAAGCAATGCAGCCGCTTGGTGGGAGCTGACAAGCTCGTTCACTTTCAAAGAACCTGCTCATCTACCAGCCCTGGCACACACAAAACATTCCCGTCACGGCCTTTGGAGCCTGAATTTCAGCTTTGATCATCTTAAAGCACATAAATCTTTCAAAAAATTTGGGGGGAGGGAGGGAAAAGATTCTCTTTGGTAATGCTCAAAGCTGCTGCTTGAAAGGCTGGAGTGGCTACTGTGGCTCCATGACATTTAAACGAGTCTGCTAACGTGGACTGGACAGAAACCCAGGAGAAACCGGCCCATCTGTGATGTTTCCTGCCCCAATTCCCCTGCTCGAAGGATGGCGGGTATGCATCCTTCATCTCGCCTGCGCGCCTTTGCTGCTGTCAGAGCCTTGCTCCAGCAGGCAATTGGATGAGACTGGAGCTGCGCGGAGGGACCGCCGCTCACGGCACTTGCCTGAAGTGCCGACACATGCAGAACGGGATCCAGAAAGCAATCCAGAGAGCAACCTGTGCTCCGGCAGCTGAGCAGTGCCAGCGCTGAGCCTGTGGACTACTTGCCAGCTAGTGCTCCACTGTGGCTAAATAATATCTTCTGCAAGGGACAATAATTTGCATTGCTACAAAGCCATGGACCTGTATCTTAGCTCAAGGTCGTCCTTCCTATTCCCGGCCATCTTTTGGACTCATTGCTCATGTACCAGTAGCCAACAAATTATCTCTGCATCCACTCAGATCCTCTCTCATTTCTCTCTGTGCCAAAACACGGGTAAATACCCGCTTCCCTTTCCAAAGCTGAGCATCCCGCACCGATTCGAGATGGAGAAGAACAAGGTGAGAATCCGCTCCCGTCTGTGGGCGTTGTGCTGCCCAAGGTGGGATTGTGGCCAGGGCTGGCTCCCACTGCAGATTACTTACATGCGTTGGGGGACCCGTTGGGGAGAGGCAGGTAGGACCCTGCTCGCCAAGACCTGGAGCGAAAGTTCTTCTTGCACTTGCCGCAGTCCTGCCCCGTGGTGTTGTGCTCGCACTCGCACTGAAGGCTGCCCTCTTTGAAGGTGCACAGGTTAGCGTGGAGGTTGCATTTACACCTGGAAGAGGAACACAGGAGAAGAGCTGTCAGGTATTATCACAACTCCTCCTTGCCCCTGCTGTAGTGCTGTCCACGTGCATGAAAATGGAAAGGTGAAGCTGGGCTGGTTACCCCTTTCCTGTTCCTTCTGCAGGAGTTTTTCACTGAACTCAGCTGTTTTCCCTGGTGCTGGGGTTATGGTGTTCATGTCCTCACCCAAGGTGGATCTGCAGTCTCTATTCCAAGTTGAGAGATATTTTACTCCCACCATCTGACTGCGCTAGTACAAGCCATTTAAGGGTAAGCCAGTGTCTCCAGCTGAGACTCCAGAAGAGCCACACAAGTTATAGGCTATTACAGAAATCTGGGTGATTAGCTCAGATGTAGGTATTTACTTGGAGGCAAGAGGACAGCTTGAGTTGGAGGACCATGGCTAGCATGGACTCAGCCCCTTGACTCCTGTGCACTGTGCTGAAGTCAAGAGCGTTTTCTCCCGTGGTGTGAAGTTGCACAACACAAACCCTTTCCCCTCCCAGCCTGCTGTGACCAAAATAACACAGAGAACGTGTCACCATCAAGATCTGCCTTTTAGTCCCCACCTCATCAGAGAAAGGCAACAATGAAAACCACTATTCAGCAATTTGCAAACATTAACAAACTTTTAATGAGCTGTAGTGCAGTATGCAGGGAATAATTATCTCTGTGCACAATAATTCCTGTCGCTCAGACTCCAGAGGTGCCTTGTGCAGAGCACGGAGCCTGAGCCCATAACTCATGCGTGGCTCTAGTGACTCCTGCGCCCAAGCTGAAGCCATCTGACAGAGACTTTGGGGACCAAAACCTCTCATTTCATTCCAGACAGTGGATCCCTCTGGTTTGTCACTACTTTGTGCAATAATTTACACTCTCAGAAGCAGAACCATTAGAAAACAGTAACGCTGTGCCTTATGTGACTGTAGAGAAGCCTGACCAGGCAGCGCTTCGTTTTACAGGGCTAATTGCACATGAGATGCAGAGCTGAGGGGAATGCACTTCTTGCAGAGAAGACAGAGGAAACATGGCCTGCTTCTTCTTGTGCTTGCAGAGAAGACAGAGGAAACATGGCCTGCTGCTTCTTCTCGTGCTCTGTCTGTGCTGGGATAAACAACCTGGATTAGGCTGGGAGCCGGGTCCCTCCCAGGACCGCGCATGCTCCCTCTCCCTTGGAGCCCCCCGAGATGCTCCCCAGCCTCCTGCCTGACCCACTGAGGCCGCCTTTGCTGTGCTCCTCCTCACGCATGGCTGGATAAGCTGACCTCATGTATGATTTTTTTTTTTTCCCTCCCTCCTCCCCTCCCTGTCCTTAATTCTAGCAAACCCCGCTCAGAGGCTAAGCATAAGCTGGATGAGCAAGTCTCTCTCCTCGTCTTACAACCCTGCCCTGTCTCTGAGCAAGCAGAGGAGGGAATATTGCAGTCTCTAAAAGGGATGAAGGAAGGAAATGTGGTCCACGGAGCAGAGGCAGACACTTGAATCTGTGTGTTTGTGAGAGCTGGAGACGCCACGTCACGGCTGAAAGCACTAACAGCCTCCCAGCACTGGTGCTCTGGGACCAAGCTGTGAATCCAAGTGTCCGGGGGAAGGAAGCGGCTTTGGCTGGTACCTCCACAGAAGGGATGCTGTATTTTAGCTGCTTCGTGTCCCCTCTGGTGAGGAAGGATTTTGGCTGAGCCGTCCCAGCCCTTTGGCAGAGGCGATGCCCAGCCCTGGAGTGCTGCAGAGCCTGACTCTGAATTATTCAGCGTCTGCCCAGCACGGCCTCCTTCTCTCGCTTCAAAATGAGCAGACAGGAGCAAAGCAGGCAAGATAGTGGGTTAAAGCAGGTCAAAGCTTCACCGCTGCCGCTCTGGGCCCAGCCTGAATCAGAGCAACAGCATCTGGGAAAGGCAGCTCTCCTCCCTCCCATCACTGGTGGAAGCCAGGGGATGGGAGCCAGCTCCAGGGCATAGCCTTAAAATCCATCTTAAGGGGAGTTTAAGAGCCCCAGGGGAATGGGATACAAAGGAGGCAGGGCCCAGCATCCCTGTTATTTTCTCTGAAATGTGGGATGACGTGGAAGGTCCTGTCCTTGACCCCACCAATCTCGAGTGGGGACACCAGCCCTGCCAGCAGGCTGGGGACAGGGTTGTGTACCTATGGCTGTCCCCCAGCCACAGCAAGTAAGGGTGATGGAGCACAGCTCTTCTCAGGGAAGACCCTTCCTTCCTAATTGGTGTAAACAAGGAAAATTAAAGAGAAAGCAGAGACAGCTGGTCACCCTGCCTGCCTGGGCTCAGGTCACTTATTTTTCTCACTGCTCAGCCTTTCGCCACTGTGCAAAAGTTTTGTTATCCCAAGGATCAATTTTACCGGGGAATTGCTTTCTGAATTCGACCTTTGAGGCTCATCAATCTAAGCAGAGAACTATAACCCCAGCAAGCTGACCCCACAACACAGCACTTTTCAGCCCAATCAATCAGGCTGCATTATTTAATAGCGAACAGCCGAGTGCCTTCAGCCAGCCCCGACTGCCAGCCCCATTTTGTGTGGAGGTTTCTGCATCCGGGCCTCCCTGCTGCTCCTGCTCAGCATCTCAGCTTTAACCCCTTCTTCAGGCTTCTCTGCCTCCTCCTCCAGGCCCCCAGCCCAAGGACGTGCTCTCGCCAGCGATCTGTGCACAGCATCTTTCCCCAGCCAAGATCCAGCTGGTGGAGACTGGAGTAAATGACATTAGCCCAGTCCCCCAGGGTGGGAGCTGCTCGTCCTGCTTGCCTCTGCTCATCTTCCTCGGGCGGCCAGCCATCGTAGGAAAGAGAGGATGAAGGGAAAGGTTAGGAGCTACTTAGCAATGAGGCTTTAATAGCAGCAGTGGGGCAGACACCTGCGCTGTGTCCTGCAGAAGGCAGAGATGGCCCCGCTCCAGCCCCGGGGCCGCTCCAGCAAAGTGCTGGTTGCAATATGGTCTCTTTGGCTCCGGAGGAGATCTGAAGAGCTGGGAGGGTTTCTCCTCTCCAGCTCGTGGGTCAAGGCTAGTGGTGGCAGTGCTGTTTCTCGGTGAGAATTTACAGCCCACAGTGGGGCACAGCCCTGGGGAGAGCAGCCCCAGCACACACCCAGCAGAAACTGCAGCACCCACCATGGCCTGGGGACAACCAAGTCCTCTTCTGGGCTATCAGCAAGTGCACGCAACTATGTTTTGCATTAAACAGGGGGAGAGCAGCCCCAGCACACACCCAGCAGGAGCTACAGCACCCACCATGGCCAGGGGACAACCAAGTCCTCTTCTGGGCTATCAGCAAGTGCACGCAACTATGTTTTGCATTAAACAGAAACTGGCTCACACCGTTCCCAGCTAAAGCGGCCAGACTGATGTGTGGTCCAAGACGTTGCTGTTTGCACGATGGGGTATTTATTTCAGTTTATTTTAGTGCAGGTCGTTCAGTTTCTGCCTTCCCTCGGAGTGGTGCAGTGTGGTCAGACGCTGCCAATGCCCCCACCAGGGAACATCGTGGAGCTTGGAATGCCAAGGAAAGTTTACGGGAATGTGTCCTTTTTTTCTTTTTTTTTCTTTTTCTTTTTTTTTTCTACAGTCACAAAGAACAGTTTGCCATCATTTTTCCTTTTTTTCTCTTTTTCTTTTTTTTTTTTTTACAGTCACAAAGAACAGTTTGCCGTCCCTGCATTTCTCCAAGTCAGCATCCTGGAGGTCACAGCAGCGATTGGAGAGGTGTCTGGTGCCAAGCCCGTGTGCGAGGGGAGGAGATGCCCATGTGCAGGCTTCGGAAGGGGGTGAAGGTGGGGGTGAGTGCTGAAAACCTGCAGGAGCCACGCTGGCAGTGGGAAAGCAGCCACTGTCCCTGAGTTTTTATTAATAATGACTTCTGAAATAATTTTAAGAAGCCACCCCAGCCCTTTGCTTTCCTTCCAAGGATTCTTACATGTTTTACCACCTCTTTTCTGTCCATAACCCCACTTTGCAGAGCAGGGAATTAAGGCAGAGAAAGGCAGAGGCATCTCTTCATCCCCACAGGGGATAAGCCAGTCTTGGGGTGCCAGCACCCCCTGCTCAGGCCTGATGCCATGACTCTGCTGTGGTGGGTAGGGCTGGAGGAACCACTTGCCAGGTGGAGACCCAGAGAGCTGCTCCATCCCTGTGCATCACCCAGCTCCCACCATGGCCCAGTCCTGCCTTGCCCCAAGCTCCTTAAAATAGAGCCTGGATGAAGACATGGGGCAACAGGAGTCCACTGCAGTGCCCACCACCTCCTCTCCAAGTCTCCTGCCAGTCCAGCCTGTGCTCTTATCTCCACCCTGTCCTTCCCATGAAGGTCCTACTGCACAACTGCATGACCCTGGGGATGCTGTAGTCCCCTCCTGTTGGCTCCTGGGCTACCAGGCTCCTGTTTGTCCCCCACCATCAGCTTGGCAGTGGTACCCCCCTGCTCCCTTTCTGCTGGCCCCAGCTGGGCTGGGGAGCGGCAGCGCGCAGCGGAGAGCTGCTAATGACTGCCATCCGAAGGAAGGCTTATGATAGCTTTCCCCTGAATTGTTTGCTCTCACTGTAATTGATGAGCCTTTAATGAGTCTCAGGGGACGATGTGTTTGAAGGGAGCTCTTTCCTCTCCGTCCCCGAGGAAAACGATGTTTCAACTGATCTCGGCTCTCGGGGAAACATGAATAACTCTTCTCCCTCTCTCTATTGTCATCCCCAGCCATTGCTCGCAGCACGCTCCGGCAGCTGCCTGGCCGTGACTTACCCACTTTTTACCTGCTTCTTTGCAACTGTTTTGGCAGCTCAGCAAAAGCAGGGAGCAAATCTTTTGGGCAAAGCATAGCGGGCGCTGAGCTTGGATTGTTTCTGGCCCATCTGTGCGTGCAGAAGCAGGTAAAAATAGCTTCTAATGGCTGGGCTACAGAAGAACTACGGTCCCTTTGTGGAGAGCAGTTATATTAGGATTGGCCTTGCTGGGAGATTGCTCTGGCAGAGGTTTGCTATCGCCA